CAACTCTATGATTCTATGAAGTCTTTACCAGGGTAAAGTTACAATCCCTCAGCCTCAATGAAGAAACTTGCCAAGTGAGGAAAAACAACCCACAAGGGGTGACCTTGGGCAAAGTCATACTCTCTCAGCCTCAGGTTGGCAATGAAGAAACTTGACAAGAAAACCTAATGGAAGGTTTGCTTCGGGGGTCTCCCTAAGTCAGAAATGACTTGAAGAGACACAGCAACAACAGTCTCAAGTGCTTTAATGCTTCCTAGGTCCAAAACACACTGCAGAAATAATTCAGTTTGAGACCGCTTTAACTGCCCTGGCTCAGTGCTAAGGAATTCTGGGAACTGTAGTTTTGTGAGACATTTAGCTTTCTCTGTCAGGGAGCTCTGGTGTCACAATAAACTACAATTCCCAGGATTCCCTAGCACTGGGCCAGGGCAGTTAAAGTGGTCTCACAGTGGATTATTTCTGCAGTGTGTTTTAGAGCTTCTGATTTCTTGACTCTAAAATCTCCATTTTGTTTGATGTCTGAACCAGGTTATAGCAAACCTTTAACTATTTAATTATCTTTCTTATTTCTGCATTGTGTGCCTTCAAGTCATTTCTGCCTTGTGGCAATATTATGTTTTTTTTCTTGGCAAGATTTCTTCAGAGGGGGTTTGCCATTGGTTTTCCTGGAGGCTGAGAGCATGTGACTTTGCCCAAGGTCACTCAGGGGATTTCATTGCAGAGCAGGGATTCGAACCCTGGTCTCCAGAGCCATAGTCCAGCACCTAAACCACTACGCCATGCTGCCTTTGTTTGGCACTGCTTTAACTGCCCTGGCTCTTCAGTGATCCAAAACATACTGCAGAAATAATCCAGTTTGAGACCACTTTAACTGCCCTGGCTCAGTGCTAGGGAATCCTGGGAAATGTAGTCTGTTAGGGCACCCTCTCCCATTACCACACCATACAGAATCATTAGTCTTTATTTTTTTGGTATTAATGTTACTTCTAAATTGTAACTCCTGTATACATCACTGAATGTCTTGGTAATAGTTGTGACATAAACGACGAGCAAAATTAAAATTATACCTTTAAGCCACCTTTATCCAATGCACAGAATAAACATATTTAAGTGTACATAGCTTCCTCTGCTGAAAGTGAAAGTTTGATAAAGCGTAAAGTTTTTCAGGATTTTTTTAAAAATGTATTTTTCAATTTTTTTTTTTTTTATAAAACATTGAAAATTGAAGTTTTATTTAAAAAAGTGAAACCCTGGGGCTTCTCCTTTCTCCTCCCACTGAGTCTCACCCCTCTCACACTGTCTCTTCAGCATTTTAAAGGGACACAAGCGAATGCCGGAGCCCAAAGGCAGATGCAAGGGAAGAAATAGTGCCACTTTATTCTGCTTTGGTCAGGCCTCCCCTGAAATGATCCTGTGTCCAGTTCTGGGCACCACAATTCAAAAAGGATGTTGAAAAACAGGAGCGTGTCCAAAGGAGGGCGACTAAAATGGTGAAGGGTCTGGAAACCAAGCCTTATGATGAACGACTTAAGGAGTTGGGGATGTTTAGCCTGGAGAAGAGAAGGTTAAGAGGGGATATGATAGCCCTGTTTAAATATTTGAAGGGATGTCATATTGAGGAGGGAATAAGCTTGTTTTCTGGTGTCCCAGAGAACAGGACATGGAGCAATGGAAAAGAGATTCCACCTAAATCTCAGGAGGAACTTCTTGACAGTGATAGTTGTTCAACAGTGGAACACAATCCCTCGGAGAGTGGTGGAGTCTCCTTCTTTGGAGGTCTTTAAAGAGAGGCTGGATGGTCATCTGTCGGGGATGCTGAGATTGTGAGTTCCTGCATGGCAGAAGGGGGTTGGACCAGTGGCGTCCCATCCCCTGGTGTGTGTGTTGGGTGGCAAGGCTACCATTGGTGAGGTAAAAGGCCGCACTCACCCTTTTTTGCTCTTGGCGGCAGCGGCAGCAGCCTCCTCGTGAGGAAATCGCCGCAGGCAGGAGGTTGGGCTGAGCATGTTCACATGGGAGGACAACCCAATCAGGTGTCACTCCACTTCTGGGGTGTCACCTGGTGCGGGATGCACCACTGCACACCACCTGGCGATGCCACTGGTTTGGACTGGACAGCCCTTGTGGTTTCTTCCGACTCTATGATTCTATGATCCAAGAGGCTAATGCCATATAGGGTTTTATGCCTCAAAACCAGCACTTAGAATTGTGCCTGGAGACAAAGCAGTGGCGCTGTTGCAACCAACAATGGAGTTGTGTGTGTAGTTTGGGCCAAAAGCCCATGTTCCCCCTTGGCCTTGCCTTGTCCTGTCTAGACGATGCAGGTCATTAGCTGCAGGACCAGTTCAGGTGGACCGGATGCACATCTGCTGAATCTGGCCCAAAGGGGCCTTAAAAGGTAAAGATAAAGGTTTCCCCTTGACATGAATGTCTAGTTGTAACCGACTGTTAGGAGCTGTTCCCGTCTCTGTTACTAAGCCAAATAGCCAGCGTTGTCCAAAGACGACTCTATGGTCATTTGGCACCGAATGTTGTTATCTTCCCACCAAAATGGTATCTATTTATTTACTTGTACTTTTTGCATGCTTGAGCCTCAAACTGCCAACCTTTTTGACCTTGCGATAGTCAGAATTGGCATCTTAATCACTAAGCCGCTGCGTCCTTTAAGGTTAAGGGGCCTTAACCTGGTCTAAAAAGACTGGCTGTTTGCGGCAGAGTTTCTAGGAAATTCCACAGTGACAGCCAGCAGACCGGATGGCCCCATGCACCCCTGCTGAGATAACCTCCATCTTAGCATGTGATGTCGAATGGGGATGCCTGGCCATGTGGATATAGTCAGGCCACCTGTTTCCATCCTTACGGGTCATGAAGGGTCTTCTCAGTAGACGCAATGATGGAAGCAGGTACAGGGCACGCAATGGTAGCAGATTCATAGTGTGGTGGCAGGCTAGCATTGCTACGGTGGCCTGGGGACTGATCTGGGTAGGATAGCATGGGCTTGACCTGTGTTCTCCTTTCCATCTGCTTAGGGCCTTACCATCTGTGGCAGCTCTTTCAATCAGCTGGAATTTCCAAATACTTTTCAAAGGCAACCCCATGTAGAGCACATTACAGTAATCCAGCTGGAGTATTCCAACCAGAGCACATACAAATTGAAATGGATTTTTTTTTGTTTTTACTCATGAAACAGCCATCTTTTGAACTCTAGTTTCTTCTGGGGATGGCCATATTCTAGCGTCCTAGATCAGGGGTAGGCAACCTTTCCCCTTTAAGGGCCGAGGGACTTCAGCTCCCAGAATCCCATGAGCTATTGGCCAACATGGCTGAGGCTTCTGGGAGCTGAAGTCCCTCGACCCTTAAAGGGGAAAGGTTGCCTACCCCTGCCCTAGATGATATGAGCCCTGGCATCTGTTTTTATTACTAGGACTCAGGTGTGAAATGACTGACTTGAAACAGGTCCTTTCCATAAGCCCAGCCGCCTTCTGGGCTTGGAGCATGAAGGCACAATAGTTCAAAAACAGGAAAGCTGTGCCCTTCTTGGCCATACTTGAGTACCAGCACAGCTTGCCATGCCACTGCCACTCTTGCATCGCTACCATCTGCCACATGTCTTCTCAGTTATGCATTCCCAATACATCCATCCTTGATGCCTAGGCTCTAACTATCCACACTTTTTCCTGTATGATCATCTGTGCTCATTCTTGACCCTGTTGTGTGTGTTCAAGTCGTTTCCAACTCATGGCGACTTCATTATGGGGTTTTTCTGCAACTGAGATGGTGTGACTTGCCCTGGGCCATCCAGTTGGTTTCCATGGCTTACACCTGAACTAAGTGACAAATTTCTCAGAGCTCAGGTAGCTCATATGAATTCCTTTCTTGACTGGCCTTCCTTTTTTTGTTCTGTGTTGTTATTAGCTGTCCTGGAGTCGGTTCCGACTCATGGTGACCCTGTGGATGAGACATCTCCAAGAATCCCTATCTTCCACTACCTTGCCCAAATCCTGCAATCCCTTTCCCATAACTCCCCTGATTGAGTCTATCCATCTGGTTTGAAGTCTTCCTCTCTTTCTTCTACCCTCTACCTTTCTTAGCAGTAATTGTTTTTTTTCTAGTGATCCATGCCTTCTCATGATATGGCCAAAGTACGATAGTCTCAACTTGATCATCTTTGCCTCCCAGGAGAGCCCTGGTCTGATTTGTTCAAGAACCCATTTGTTTGTCTTCTTGGCTGTTCATGGTATCCTAAGTACTCTTCTCCAGCACCACATTTCAAATGAGTTGATTTTCTTTCTGTCTGCTTCCTTCACTGTCCAGCTCTCTCATCCATACATGGTCATTTGAAATACATTGGCCTGAACGATTCTGACTTTAGTGCTCAGTTGTATGTCTTTACTCTTAGTATCTTTTCCAGTTCTTTCATAGCTACCCTTCCCATTCCTAGTCGTCGTCTTATTTCTTGACTGCAGTCTCTATTCTGGTCAGTGTTTGATCCTAGATATGGGAATTCTTTTACTATTTCTATTTCTTCATTGTCTAGGTTGAATTTGTGAAAGTCCTTATTTTTGTTTTATATTCAGCATCACACCTGCCTTTGCACTTACATTTCTGACCTTTCTTATTAACTGTTCCAATTCGTGAACATCTTCTGCTAATATTATGCTGTCGTCCACATATCTTCGGTTGTTAATGTTGCTTCCTCCTATCTTAACTCCTCCTTTTTCCAATTCTAATTCTGCTTTTCTTATGATGTTTTCAGCATATAAGTTAAACAAGTAGGGTGGTAGGATACAGCCTTGCCTGACCCCTTTGCCTATTGGGAACCACTCTTGTTTCCCCGAATTTTGTTCTGATGGTGGCCTCTTGTCCTTGGTACATGTATCCCTCACAAAAGAAAACATCACACACAAAAGCCCAAAATCCTATGTGGGAGCTGCTTTTCTTATATATATTATATACCAGTATATAATTTTTATTCAATCAGCCATTTAACAGTACAGTCGCCCCTCCGCTTTTATGGATTTGAAGTCTGCAATCTGCGCTTTACGTGGACCAGCAAGAGGGGATACTTAAAATGATGTGTGCGCCCATGGTGTACGTGCATGGCCACACACAGGGGTGGGCATCCATTCAAGCCTACGGGGCTTGAATATGCGTGATATTTCGTTTTCGTGCGGGGGGGTCTGGAATAGATCCTCCCCAAAAACAGAGGGGCGACTATAATGAATACATTATTTCCATATCCTTTTAATATAAAAAAACTTTCAATTTTTTTTGTATCTTGAGTCAGTAATTCTTTTAATATTTTCTCATATAAGTATATTTTAATTTATCAGCCTTTTTTATGTCTATAATTACCTTTCCAAGATTTCCAAGAAATGAGAGAGCAGCTTTACTTCCTTCTTGTTTGTCATTAAATTCTTTATATCTAGTTCATTATTTACATGTCACTCCATTATTTTCTTATCTATGTAGTAGAATAGCCAAGTACATTCTACCCCTGACTCTTAAACAGCACCCAATAACCAGAATATTTAAAGATTATAGCAGTTATATAAAAAAATACTCTGAATAATTGTAATGTTATCAGATGCTTTTCAACTCTCTGGAACAGGGGTAGGCAACCTTTCCCCTTTAAGGGCCGAGGGACTTCAGCACCCAGAAGCCTCAGCCATGATGGCCAATAGTCCCATGTTGGCCAATAATGCCTGGGATTCTGGGAGCTGAAGTCCCTCGGCCCTTAAAGGGGAAAGGTTGCCTACCCCTGCTCCGGAAAGTATCTGTGGAATC